GGTCATACTTTCCTTGAAGTGGCTTCTGATGAGGTGTTACTGTACATTGCCTTATAAACATTCATATAACACCTTATAGATGAACTGGAAAATAAAACTACAGGAGAGGCCTCTTAGCTGTGATATATTCACAACGTATCGTGGCCTCTCATACCTGTTTGCTTTGTTATACAGTTTCATAATGTTGACTGCATCTATAAGGTGCTATGAATGTCCATAAGGCAATATAACACTTCATAAGAAGCTGCATTAAGTAAAGTGTTACCAAACTTTCTACCTCAATGGTATTAAAACCATTGAGCCCCAGGTCACTCCCCAAAACCTGACTACAGTACATCCTGGCACTTGGCTAATCCCTTCATTTTACATTTACATTTTAGTCATTTAGCAGACGCTATTATCCAGAGCGACATACAGTTAGTGAGTGCATACATTATTTTTATTTTTTCATACTGGCCCCCCATGGGAATCGAACCCACAACCCTGGCGTTGCAAACGCCATGCTCTACCAACTGAGCTACATCCCTGCCGGCCATTCCCTCCCATACCCTGGATGACGCTGGGCCAATTGTGCGCTGCCCCATGTGTCTCCCTGTCACGGCCGGCTACGACAGAGCCTGGATTCAAACCAGGATCTCTAGTTGCACAGCTAGCACTGCGATGCAGTGCCTTAGACCACTGCGCCACTCAGGAGACGTGTGTCCTATCGGGAGACGTGTGTCCTATCAGCGACCTCCAGACAAACCCTGTCTTCAGCCTAGAAATCGTAAATGAATTCCCCTGACAAACAAGCCTAAAAGCTACATGTCCCCTGCATTGCTGATAACCTCTTGGCCCATAGATAATGAGAACACTGACCTTTAACAAACACAATAGTAATTAGACCTGTATTGATTTAGTGTAACTGTGATCTGTAGGCTGCGTCTTCCCCCTCGCCTCTGCTGACTGATCTGGGTGTGAACCTGAAACAGAGCCTCATCACCCAGAGGGCCAGAATGCTAAACAGTTGCTTTGTGTCACAGCTATGTATTTAGGGGTGTGTTCATAAGGGCATGCAAGGGAAAAGGCTGTAAAACATTTTGCAATCTAGAATGAAAATAAGCTAACGAAAGTCCCTCGCTGTTTCAGTCTGGGGGGTTTTCTCCGTTTGGTGCCTTATGAACACAGTACTGTCTCTTATCAGAGCTAGCCATCTTAAGCTTTGGTGGGTTAACTTTGGGTTTGGTTTTACCAGAGTTATTGGCAGGGCCGGACTACCGCATTTGGGGCCCCGGGGAACTGACCTCCAGACCCCCCAATTTGTTTTGCAGTTTTATAATGCTATTCTACACTTTTTGCCATGGGTCAGAGAGAAACATTTGCTGTTTTATAGCTCATCTCATGCTATTGTTCACATTTTGCCATGAGGCTGAGAGAAAATGTTTCAGTTTGAAAGCTAATTTCCTGCTGTTCTATACAGTGCTTTCGGAAAGTATTCAGACCCCTTGACTTTTTCCACATTTTGTTACGTTTTGCCTTATTCTAAAATTATTGAATTATTTTTTCCCCTCATCAATCTACACACAATACCCCATAATAACAAAGTGAAAACAGCTTTGTAGAAATGTTCGCAAATGTATTAAAAATAAAAAACAGAAATACCTTATTTAAATAAGTATTCAGACCATTTGCCATGAGACAAAATTGAGCTCAGAAGCATCCTGTTTCCATTGATCATCCTTTAGATGTTTCTACAACTTGATTGGAGTCCACCTGTGGTAAATTCAATTGATTGGACATGATTTGGAAAAGCACACACCTGTCTATATAAGGTCCCACAGTTGACAGTGCATGTCAGAGCAAAAACCAAGCCATGAAGTTGAAGGAATTGTCCGTAGAGCTCAGAGACAGGATTGTGTCGAGGCACAGATCTGGGGAAGGGTACTGTAGTATCTTAGGATGCTTCTTAGATTGATGACACCGGACAAGTACATTTTAGTGTTTAATTGTAACTTAGAATAACATTACCGGAATGCACCTGGTGTCACTCATTAAAAGATGTACGCCTATCACGCTGCGCCTTGGTCCGGTTCTTACAACGATCGTGACAGAAGATCCCACCAAAGAAGGACCAAGCAGCGTGTTAAGGAGCAGACACTGGGAAAGGAACTGGAGAAGTTGGCGATGTCCCAGGTGGGCGAATGGTGGTCTTGGGAGGACATGTTCGCGGGCAAAGGGCCATGGGCAAAAGTTAAAGCCCTGGCGAGAGAGGAGGTACGGCGCCAATCGTGCCGTCGTCGGACAGGCGAGAGGCAACCCCAATAAATATTTTGGGGGGGGCACACGGCATGGACGACGGGGCTGCTGGAGGTAGCTACAGGGCGAGTTTGTGGACTAGGAGAGGATGCCACCAGGTTACGGGGCCCGGTCCGGCCCGTTCCTGCTCCCCACACCAAGCCTGTGGTGCGCGTCGCCAGCCCGGCCCGGCCCGTTCCTGCTCCCCTCACCAAGCCAGTGGTGCGCGTCACCAGCCCGGTTCGGCCTGTTCCTGCTCCCCGCACCAAGCCAGTGGTGCGCATCGTCAGCCCAGTCCGGCCCGTTCCTGCTCCCCGCACCAAGCCAGTGGTGCGCGTCGTCAGCCCGGTCCGGCCCGTTCCCGCACCAAGCCAGTGGTGCCCGTCGTCAGTCCGGCACGGTCCGTGCCTGTTCCACCTGTGCCTGGTCCGGCACCGGTCAGCTGCTCCACGCCGGAGCCAGAGCAATCTGCTCCACCGGTGTTCAGTCCAGCTCCGGCCAGCAGGGCCAGACCACGAGGGCGAGAGAGAGAGTGGTGGTCACGCCCGGAGCCGGATCCGCCTCCGAGGCGGAATGCCCACCCGGCCCCTCCCCTGTTGGGTTTAGTTGGTGCGGTCGCAGTCCGCGCCTTTGGGGGGGGGGGGGGTACTGTCATGCCCTGGCTCTGGGGACTCTTTTATGTTGAGCCAGGGTGTTAGTTTCTATGTTGTAGTTTCTATGTGTTTATTCTAGATCGTTTAGATCTATGTTGGCCAGGGTGGTTCCCGATCAGAGGCAGCTGTTGCTCGTTGTCTCTGATTGGGAACCATACTTAGGCAGCCTGTTTTGCACAGTTATTTGTGGGATCTTGATCTGTATAGGTTGGTGGTGTTTAACCTTTAGACGTCACGTATTGTTTTGTTGTTTTGTTGTTATTGTTAAAGTACTCATTAAAATATGTACGCCTATCACGCTGCGCCTTGGTCCGGTTCTTACAACGATCGTGACACCTGTAGTAAACTACCTGAGGCTTTTTCCGAGCACGGTTATATGGACAGACATTTAAAGGGCTACGGATAGCGGAAAGCAAACCCCGCATTGAGTCAATACTGCCATCTATTGGTAAACATAATACAACATAAATATACCAGGTTACTACAGGTACTAAAAAATGTCAGGTACCAAGACTCTTCCTAGAGCTGGCCGCCCAGCCAAACTGAGCAATCAGGGGAGAAGGGCCTTGGTCAGGGAGGTGACCAAGAACCCGATGGTCACTCTGACAGAGCTCCAGAGTTCCTCTGTGGAGATGGGAGAACCTTCCAGAAGGACAACCATCTCTGCAGCACTCCACCAATCAGGCCTTTATGGTAGAGAGGCCAGACGGAAGCCACTCCTAAGTAAAAGGCATATGACAGCCCGCTTGGAGTTTGCCAAAAGGCACCTAAAGGACTCAGACCATGAGAAACAAGACTCTCTGGTCTGATGAAACCAAGATTTAACTCTTTGGCCTTATTGCCAAGCGTCACGTCTGGAGGAAACCTGGCACCATCCCTACGGTGAAGCATGGTGGTGGCAGCATCATGCCGTGGGGATGTTTTCATCCTTGATGAAAACCTGCTCCAGAGCACTCAGGACCTCCGACTGGGGCGAAGGTTCACCTTGCAACAGGACAACGACCCTAAGCACACAGCCAAGACAACGCAGGAGTGGCTTCGGGACAAGTCTCTGAATGTCCTTGAGTGGCCCAGCCAGAGCCCGGATTTGAACCCGATCGAATATCTCTGGAGAGACCTGAAAATAGCTGTGCAGCGACGCTCCCCATCCAACCTGACAGAGCTTGAGAGGATCTGCAGAGAAGAATGGGAGAAACTCCCCAAATGCAGGTGTGCCAAGCTTGTAGCGTCATACCCAAGAAGACTCAAAGCTGTAATCACTGCCAAAGGCATCCTGTAGCTCAGTTGGTAGAGCATGGCGCTTGCAACGCCAGGGTTGTGGGTACGATTCCCACGGGGGGCCAGTATGGAAAATGTATGCACTCACTAATTGTAAGTCGCTCTGGATAAGAGCGTCTGCTAAATGACTAAAATGTAAAAATGTGCTTCAACAAAGTACTGAGTAAAGGGTCTGAATACTTATGTAAATGTGATATTTTTTATTTTTAATACATTTGCAGCAAAAAATAAAAACCTGTTTTTGCTTTGTCATTATGGGGTATTGTGTGTAGATTGATGAGGAAAACAAGCAATTTGATCAATTTTAGAATAAGGCTGTAACGTAACAAAATGTGGAAAAAGTCAAGGGGTCTGAATACTTTCCGAATGCACTGTACATTTTGCATTGAGGCTGAGAGAGAATTTTGCAGTTTTAAAGCAAATGTCCTGCGTGTCCGTTCGGTAATCCAATCCTGGTTATTGGATTTACATAACCATGCATTGGGGGACATTTTTATTAGAATGATCGATTGTACAGTATGGGTAGCACCAAGCACACTGACACTCTCTCTCTCACACACACACACACAAGACTCTGCCAAAGTGCGGAAATTATAAAACCAGTCCAGTTGGCAGGTAATGCAATAGTCTCTAACTCAATATGCAGTGAAAGTGCCATTACTGCACTCTCACGTTTTTATAGCAGACACACCTTCAATCTCATCCCAGCTGTAATAATAACCTTCTTAACAACATTTCCTCCTAAAAACCTGGGGCCATGGTTGCCATGGTCACAAAGGAATATGGCAAAGAAATATGACTATTATTTTACCCTTCGAATATCTTACGACTCTCGCTCTCTTTGTTTCTTTGTTCCTTAAAGCCTACACAGAGAAGATCAAGGAGATGTCCATGATGTCTCTCATCTGCTCCTGCCTATACCCCCAGACATCATACCCCACCACCAACTACCAATTTGGAGGTCAGCCCAAAGTGTGCTTTGTTTAATAATGTGAATGTTGTATTTTGGTTTTTCTTTTTTCTTAGTCTCAAAACACTTTACATTGTATGGCCGGTAATTCATCTTATCTACCACCAATGTGTAGCACCCACCCATCTGGGGTAATGCACAACAGCCATTTTGTGTCTTATTTGTCTTGTCTCTCTCAATAGACCTGGAGGTGAAGCCCATCAACAAGCGACTGTCGGGCCAGTCCTTTGAGGTGATCCTGAAGTCCCCCACCGACCTGTCCCCAGACAGGCCCAGTCCCCTGGCCTCTCCCCCAGCCCTGACCTCGCCCCCCAAGAGGGACATCTCCCTGGATGAGCTGCAGAAGAGGCTGGAGGCCGCTGAGGAGAGGAGGAAGGTAAGAGAAGAAGATGGAGGGAAAGGAGGGAGGGAGTAAGAAAAGGGAGGATGGGGAGAGAGTAGTGGGAAAAAGCAGGTGAGATAGAAGTTCATGGAGGTTGCTGAGGACAGGCGGAAGGTAAGAGATGGGAACAGAGGGGAAGGAGAGTGCAAGAGAAGGAAGTGAGAAGAGGGGGGGGGGGGGTGAGGAGGTCAGGTTCATAGAGTTCATGGAGGTTGCTGAGGAGAGTAGGATGGTAAGAGTGGATGACTGATGCAAGTGTATGAAGGAAGAGGACAAAAACATGTGAAGTATGTTAATTGTTTGCTGAGAGGAAGGTAAGAGAAGAGGAAGGAAGGGAAGGAAGACAGAGGGAGGGAAAGGAGGGAGGAAAAGAGGGAGGAGGAGAGAGACAAAAAGCTGGTGAGGTAAAGGGATATTGACTTTGCTGAGGAGAGACGAAAGGAGAGACGGAAACAGGAGATTAGGTGAAATGAAGAAAAGATAATCACTCAATGGAGAGAAGGAGGCGAAGAAGCAGTAAGGAAAGATGAATGAGATGGGGTAACAAATTCCAGTCTCTCTCTAGACATCCAGACCCTCTACTGAAATGCCAGAGCTGTCACACATGAATGAGCTTGGTTGTGTTCATTAGGCACCAAATGGAAGAAAGCGGACTTATCTTTTTCCATTGAAAACACTTTTCAAAATGTTTTCTGTAGCATGCCCTAATGAACACAACCTTGAAAAGGAGACAGATATCCGACATTTCAGACATAAATAACTAGCAACCCATTGCTTCATCATCCTAGTTCAGTTAGGGGGATTTCCTGGGTTTTCTGTGAGCCTTTTTCTACCTTGCATTTCCACTTAAATAGAAAAACTGAAGACTAATTATCGTTGTTGGGTGACAACTGCTTCAATGCTTAGTGGCTGCGTATCAGACAGACCCAGCCAGACCTGTCACTGGGTTCCCTGAGGGAAGGAATAGTCATGAATGGGGAGGGCCTGTCATCGCTGCTGGAATATACCATAGGGAGGAGGGAAATGTGTCTGTGGAAGTCTGGGGGTGAGACAAGCAGTGAAAACAGAAATCCAAATTTCAGTTGCAAAATCTGGTTGAATCCTTTGACAATCAATGATCAGGCAACTCATTAGCGTTTGGATTCAATTCCCTAATATTGGGGAAATTATTTAATCATCAGCCTTTCCAACAACATAATAGGAAGTGGATATTTAACCAGCGAACAAACACTTTGGCATAGGGATAGAAATTGGTTATGGTTAGGGTCAAGGTTAGGTTAAGGGACAAGAGTTAGGTTAATTTAAGTGAGGTTAGGGTAAGGGTTAGGGTTACGGAAAGGCATAAAAGTTAGCATTGGGTTAGCGTACTACTGCCGTACACTGACATTCATTTTCAGTAAATATACACTGCTAACAAAATAAGTTCCTCATAGACTATCTGTGCTTCAAAAGACTGCACTTTTTCTCTCTGCTCCCCAGTCCCAGGAGGCTCAGGTGCTGAGGCATTTGGCTGAGCGCAGGGAGCACGAGAAGGAGGTGCTGCACAAGGCCATGGAAGAGAACAACAACTTCAGCAAGATGGCGGAAGAGAAGCTCAACTCTAAAATGGAGGCGAAGAAAGCGAACCGGGAGGCATACCTGAACTCACTGAAGCAGCGGCTCCGTGAGAAGGTGAGGACCTGTTTTGTTTTCTCTCCTCTCTATCTCTAAGTCTGACACCCCACCTTTTCTTCCGCAGAGAAATAAATATCTATGCTCAGAACAGAACTAGCTAAGTACTCTGACATATTTCTAGGCAGTAGACAACATAACCGGTCACATGCATCTTGACAGATTTCTCTTTGTGGTGTTTATGGTTTTTCCTAGGAGATGCATGCAGCAGAAGTGCGCAGGAACAAGGAGCTGCAAGCAGACCTTTCTGGTTAAGAAGGCTTTACTGAAAGGAATTCCCATTTCCCAGCTTTTGCTCTACATACTGCAATCTCATCTGTCATTCAATAGGGGAACAAGTTTACCTGCAAGATATCACAACTGTCATAGTTCTTCATCTCTCTACACATCCCTACAGTATAACGTTTTTCTTTCTCTCACTAAAACATCAACACCACCAGCATTTCAAACAGTAGATTTTCACATTTCTAAATGGTTGGAATAAATTCTAATGGCTGGAATTTCAAATGTGCTGAGCACGCCCACACACACATGCACAGACACAAACATACATACAATTCACACACTGACGCACGCATATAAACACAAACACTGACATGCATCGCTTTTTACATAAATGGCATGGATTGTTGAAGGGGAGTCTGTCTTGATCTAACTGTGTAATGGACTAATAAAATGCAAGTGTACTGGATGTTGTCAATATTATTTTGGGTGTAAGACAAAATACATCTTCTGTCCACATGATCAGCATAGTAGAATAACTCAAATGCAGCTGAAAGTCTACTATAGTCAATTTTTTGTTTAAACAAATAGCTAGGTTTCCATTCAATTGGCGACAGATTTTCATGGGAATATTCAAAAATCTGCATAAAAACAATATGCGCATTTTCACACCAGAGATGTTTTTCCATCTAATTGACTTGTTGCAGACAATGCGTGATGACATAATGCACATAAAAATACATTTTGCGGTTAAATTCCCATGTACCGAATAAAAAATACATGTTAAATGGGATTCCATCACATTTTGAACTCTACTGATGGATTTATCACAAAAAATGTTTTGCGTTATATAGCGAGTGTGCCCACTCTGGTATTGGCAAGTGCGCTCTGGTCAACAGCGTTTTCTGTGCACTGTTGGTTAGCCGCTTGCGCGCACGAAGCCTATAGCCTACATTATGAGATTATAATATGCATAAACATAATATTTCCCTGCCGCTGGACAAAAGAGCGATATTATTTTTTATTTTTCAAACGGCAGCCAAGCATCGATTATCATGTCACCAAAATAAGACCCTAGATATTTATTGGAAAGGAGCAGAAAACTCATCCACCATCTTGTACTTTCACCACCCTGTGGGAAAGGAGCATCAAACTCATCACTTCGCACTTTCACCACCCCCTGTGAAGTTCATCATAATTTATTTAATCTGTACCTTAAAAAACTGCATGCTCTCCGGACGAGTCGTAGTTGGAGGACCACACAACATGTCATCGCGTGACTCCAAATTAACTTCGATATGACGGTTATCGTAACAATATTTGCGCATAAGCATTTTCACCGGCATTTCTCGTATAATGAATTTTACAGACACAAAAAATCTCACCTTGTCTAGAATATTTTGTTTAGTCGACATTTGGACAACTCTGTTTCAATCAGTCCTGTCAGGACATTTTTTATCCGACATGTACTTTACTCGCATAAAAAGGTTGGATGTAAACCTAGCTAGTGAAAGCGAGCACTTTTGTCACCCCAGATGAATAGGAGAAACCTATTCATAGTTATCATTCGTGGTTAGTTATCAATATCTCTGCTGTCACATTCTCAACATTTAGGCTTTGTTTTCAAGTTGGTGCTAAATATAGCATAAACATGCAGTCAGGCATGCCACAATACATGCCATCATGGTGGGAGGAAAAATATAGAAAATATAAATATAAATAGTGACATGAGGAATAAATACACACTGAATAACGAATAACAATAACATGGCTATATACAGGCAGTAGCCTACCAGTACCTAGTCATCTTCTATCCACATGACCCCATGATGATTTCATGGGATCCATAATTTCATTAGAGAACTTTGTAGCCTACCCATAATGATACATTGTTCATGTCCCTTCCACATACAGTGCATTTGGAAAGTATTCAGACCCATTGATTTTTTCCACATTTTGTTACATTACAGCCTTATTCTAAAATGGATTAAATCTATTTTTATCCTTATCAATCTACACACAATACCCCATAATGACAAAGCAAAAACAGGTTTTTAGAAATGTTTGCGAATTTATTACAAATAAAAAACGGAAATATTTCATTTACATAAGAATTCAGACCCTTTACTCAGCACTTTGTTGAAGCTCCTTTGGCAGCGATTACAGCCTCGAGTCTTCTTGGATATGACGCTACAAGCTTGGCACACCTGTATTTGGGGAGTTTCTCCCATTCTTCTCTGCAAATCCTCTCAATCTCTGTCAGGTTGGATGGGGAGTGTCGCTGCACAGCTATTTTCAGGTCTCTCCAGAGATATTCGATCGGGTTCAAGTCCGGGCTCTGTCTGGGCCACTCAAGGACATTCAGAGACTTGTCCAAAAGCCACTCCTGCGTTGTCTTGGCTGTGTGCTTAGGGTCGTTGTCCTGTTGGAAGGTGAACCTTTGCCCCAGTCTGAGGTCCTGAGCACTCTGGAGCATGTTTTCATCAAGGATCTCTCTGTACTTTGCGCCGTTCATCTTTCCCTCAATCCTGACTAGTCTCCCAGTCCCTGCCACTGAAAAACAACCCCACAGCATGATGCTGCCACCACCATGCTTCACCGTAGGGATGGTGCCAGGTTTCTTCCAGACGTGACGCTTGGCATTCAAGAGTTCAATCTTGGTTTCATCAGACCAGATAAACTTGTTTCTCATGGTCTGAGAGTCCTTTAGGTGCCTTTTGGCAAACTCCAAGCGGGCTGTCATGTGCCTTTTACTGAGGAGTGGCTTCCGTCTGGCCGCTATACCATAAAGGCCTGATTGGTGGAGTGCTGCAGAGATGGTTGTCCTTCTGGAAGGTTCTCCCATCTCCACAGAGGAACTCTGGAGCTCTGTCAGAGTGACCATCGGGTTCTTGGTCACCTCCCTGACCAAGGCCCTTCTCCCCCGATTGCTCAGTTTGGGCGGGCGGCCAGCTCTAGGAAGAGTCTTGGTGGTTCCAAACTTATTCCATTTAAGAATGATGGAGGCCACTGTGTTCTTGGGGACCTTCAATGCTGCAGAAATGTTTTGGGTACCCTTCCCCAGATCTGTGCCTCGACACAATCCTGTCTCGGAGCTCTACTGACAACTACGGTTTTTGCTCTGAAATGCACTGTCAACTGTGGGACCTTATATAGACAGGTGTGTGCCTTTCCAAATCATGTCCAATAAATTGAATTTACCACATGTGGACTCCAATCAAGTTGTAGAAACATCTCAAGGATTACCAATGGAAACATTAATTTCGAAGTCTCATAGTAAAGTGTCTGAATACTTATGTAACATTTCTAAAAACCTGTTTTTGCTTTGTCATTATGGGGTATTGTGTGTAGATTGATGAGGAAAAAAAGTAATTTAAGAAATTTTAGAATAAGTCTGTAACGTAACAAAATGTGGAAAAAGTAAAGGGGTCTGAATACTTTCCGAATGCACTGTAAGCCAACAATACAGAGGAGTAATGTGTCTACACATTATGCATTGTATTTTATTTGATGGACTAGGTTACATGACAGGCCAGCACCCATAAACCAACTAGGCCAATAGCTCAATAATCTGTAACCAGGACCAATCATGATTGACTATTGTCCTAACTGACCCATCCATGTCAAATAGTTATTGATATTGTCAAAGATACAATTAAACATGAAAGTGGTAACTAACACATGGTGTTTGTTATTAATTAATTACTTTTATACGGGCAAATCCTTGAATGGTATTTTACAGACCAGTTGAAATTAATATTCAATACTGGCAAAGACAAACTTATTTATTTATTATATATTTGCTTAAATATTTGTTTCTTGGGACATTATAATCTAATAAATATGAAATGTATGTCAATATCCAATTAATTATATTACTCCAAATCGATTGCCAAACTCTGTATCACGACTATGGAACTCTGTGATAGCACCATCAGTGACTGCGCAAAACCGACGCCCGTAAACATCTCGCTTTGAGCAACGTTAGCGAAAGCAGCTAACTAGCTTTATTCTTGAGCACTGCAACAGTAGCAGCCATTTCTGAAATCTGAAAACAAAAGGTAAAACGAGCATTTATTCCAATATTGTCACATTAGTTAGCTAACTACTATAAAAACAAGCAGTTACATTCTGTAGCTAGTTAACAAGCAATCAACTGCTCCAGGCTCACGATGCAAGCTAGCTAGTAGCAGAACGTAAACACTGCATGCTTCAATCTGGCCGTCGTCGTAACGTGCGTGCCGTGCTAGTTAAAGATTACGTTATTTTATCACCACGACGTAGTGATCGCTTTCTGTGCGTGAACTGGCAAGCTAAAACGTAGCTTCAGCCTGTGAAATGAAATTTACAAATGTATGGTTTAGCTAGCATTGTAAAATATCCAGCTGAAGAAGTCTCCCTATCTGTATCTGCATGCCTTGTTTGGGCCTGGTTTGCCTGCTAAACACTTAGCTAACTAACTAGTTAACTAACTAACTAACTAGCTACTTAGCAAACGTCTTATGCCATAAATAATGTTGTTGCTAGCCACAGCACAGAACAAGCTGCAATGAAAACTGTGTAGGTAACAACTAGCTAGCTCAATAATAGCATTGATTCCATATTTCTTAGTTAGCCAGGCCCTCGCCGCAACATTTATCACTAGCTAGCTACCAAGCTACGTAGCCAATTGAAACGGCCCTATTCAAGCCAAGCTTATGATCACTACCACCATAATCACCCCTGTAAGGTCAGTTGGTGGTAGCCACAATGAAGAGCGCAATAGCTTCTGTCAATGACCAATAGCCCACCTTATATCTCATGCAAGCTAAACCAGCCTAGAAGACATTGAAGGGAGATGTGCTCTTGAATTACAAATGTCATCATTAGCACACAACTGTGTCTGTTCATATCACTCAGTGAGACCGCAACCTCCCTCATGGCATCATCTGAGGTCAATGTTCATGTGGAGGAGGTGGTAGTCGTGACAACATCGGATGGAGCAGCGGAGGGCTCGGCTGCAGAGGTGAAGACTGTGCTGGTGGCTACAGAGCTGACCCAGCCGGGGTGAGTAGTGGACACACTAGAGCTATGTATGAGCATCAGTGAATTCCCATGACCGCTTCTCCAGCCCAGCCAGGGAAGTGTTAGAGCTTGATACACAACGAATTAGTTGATTGGATATTTACCATACACACAAACCTCAGTCATTTGAGTCAGTGATACCCCTTAGGCCTATACCTTATGTTACATAACACTATTTAGTGACGAGTTGTTCCTAGTCAGGTTACATATATTCAAAAGGTCAACCCTACTGGTTGTAGTAGGTTTGTAATCAAGTGTACCACTACCAAAGACGGTCATAGACTGTACTTTGGTAGTGGTACGCTTGATTGTACCCTCTCATCTGGGGTGCTGCATATTGTCTTTGGTTTAGCACTCACTGAAGTTTGTCTATGGTTTATAGACTCATTGGAGTTTCTCGATCTATGCCATTCAGGGAGGAACTTGCAGATGGAAGCATTGAGTCTGAAACCGATGCCACCAGCACTTTGACAAAGGAGGCAGTCTTAGGTAAAGTGTGAAGTTACAGTGCATTCTGAAATATTCAGACCCCTTGACTTTTTCCACATTTTGTTACGTTACAGCCTTATTCTAAAATCTATTAAAT